CTCTTGGGTGATCAGGTGCAGTGTCAATGAACAGTCATATTTTGAAAGGAATCTCTTTTTGTAAGCGGTAGGTCTCAACAGTGGGCTTAAAATATTCAGTAAACCATGTTGGCAACAGATGTGCTATCATCTGGGCTTTCTTACTCCATTTATAGCATAATTCTTAAGGGCCCTAGGAATTTTTGGAATGGTAGATAAGCATTGGTTTCAACTTAAAGTCACCAGCTGCAGTACCTTAACAAGAGAGTTGGCTTGTCCTTTGAAGTTTTAAAGCCAGGCATCGATTTCTCCTCCCTAGCTATGAAGGTCCTAGATGGCACCTTCTTCCAATAGAAGGCTGTTTCATCTCCACTGAAAATCTGTTGTTTAGTGTAGCCACCTTCATTAGTGATCTGAGCTAGATCTTCTGGACAACTTGCTGCTTCACCTGGTACTTTTATGTTATGGAGATGACTTCTTTCCTTAACCCTCATGAACCTACATCTGCTAGCTTCCAACTTTTCTTCTGCAGCTTCCTTATCTCTCTCAGTCTTTATAGAATTAAAACAAGTTAGGGCCTTGTTCTGGGTTAGGTTTTGACTCACGGGAAGGTTGTGGCTGGCGTGATCTTCTAACTAGACCACTAAAACTTTCTCCATATCAGCAATATGGCTGTTTGGCTTTCTTATCAATTCATGTGTTCACTGGAGTGGCACTTTAAATTTCCTTCTGGAACTTTTCTTTTGTATTCACAACTTGACTAACTGTTTAGCACAGTGGTCTAGTTTTCAGCCTTTCAGCTTGCAACATGCCTTCCTCACTAAGCTCAATTATTCTACAGAGATACATGCAACACTTCCTTTCACTTGAACACTTAGAGAGGCCATTATAGGGTTACTAATTGGATTAATTTCAATATTGTGCCTCAGAGAATAGGGAGACCTGAGGACAGGGAGACAGAGAAAAGTCACAGCACACGCAACATACACTGACTGAGTTAATAATCTTAAATGGGTGTGGTTAGTGCTGCCCCCAAATAATTACAATACTAACATCAACGATCACTGACCACAGATCACCATAATAATATAATAGTAATGAAAAGGCCTGAAACATTGCAAAAATTACCAAAATGTGACCATGAGACATAAAGGGAGTAAATGCTATTGGAAAATGGTGCCACTAGACCTTCTCCACAGAGGTGCCACAAACCTTCAACTTGTAAAAAGTGCAGTTATCTGTGAAGCACAATAAATGAAGTGCAATAAAACGAGGTACACCTGATACTGTTTTTTTAACTTTCTAGCCAGATGAATCATCTTTACAATGAAGAAGTTCCTACTCAGATCCAACCAGCTCTGCTGAGGATTGCATGATTCAATCATTCAGTGAATCCCTGCTGATGTCCCAATCTGTTGGGCACTAGGGATACAGACATAAACAGGGGGCCTTTGCTCGCAAAGCATGAATAATAAATCTCTTATACCAGGTACCATTACTTCCATTTTATATTTGAAGGCTCAGGGAGGTTTAGTAACCACGTGTGGTCTAAGGCCATAGAGCTAACATATTGGAGCTGTGATTTAAGCCCAGATCTATGTAATTCCACAAACCCATATTCCTTCTATTATGCTATGCCTATGCCACACCCAGGTATAAAAATAAGCTAGAACAAATTACCTAGCGCAATACCTGTATAGTAGGTAGTTCATAAATGTTTGTGAATAACTTGATGTTGAACTAGGGTTTTTCTTTAACTATGTATGTCTTCTTATAAGATCCTAAATAGACAGAGTATAGTAATTTGCTGGACACTTTGGATCCAGTCTGCCCAAGTTAGGATGTGCTACTTTCTAGCAGTATGAGCTTCAGCAAATTACTTAACAGCTATAAGCCTCAGTCTTCTCTGCAAAATGAAGATGAATAACAGTTTTGTGAAGACTAAATGAGTTAATCAAAGGAAAGCATTTAGAACAGGCCTATATTTGTTAAGTACTGAATACATATAAGCTACTGCTATTACTATTATTTTCCTCCTTAAGTTGGAGTTTTGATCAGCTAATTCAGTATCACAGTAAGTGATCAAGACCAAAACCAATTTCTTTTATTGAGGCTTTTTCAGGTTCCTTTATACAAATAAAATATCCTCTTCTCCAACATTCAAACAGGAAAATAAACAGGTACATGGAGACTAAATTATGTCTAAACAGCACCCAATTATGTATAATAAGCAATTTTTGATATATAAAATTAGTAAAGAATGATTAAGAAAATTTAACTTTTATAATAAGGAGTTGGCTAGAAGTTTGTGTGTATTGGAGGCTGAATAGGCCACTATTTACATTTGGCTGTTTCCTTAAGTAAATAGCTGCAAATTCTTTACTTGTCCTTCTCCTGCATGGACACATCCTTACCAAAGATCCACCATGATTTCAACCAGCTTAAACCCAAGAAAAACTGACCGAGGTTACCACATAGGAAAACAAAACAGAATCTGCTTCTCAGGGCCAAGTGAACTATATTTGTATCCATAGATACAAGACAACAGAGAATCACATAATTCTAAAGTAGGAAGCCCCAGGACCTCAGAGATCATCTAGTCTCAAGCCTGAATCCTGCTGTCAGGGAATCTGTTAGGGGATGAGGAACACAATAGAAGTCAAAGGAAAGAACCCCTGGTCCTTGTTCCATCCTAAATGATCTCTTAGGGCCAACCTAGCCCAATATCATCATTTTATAATGACAACCCAGAGCCTGGCTAATTAAAAGCAGAGCTGAGATCAGAAGCCAGGTTTCCTGAATTCCCATCTATCACTCTCTTAGACTCCTGAGGGCTGCCATTCTATGGCTATTATAGTCACAGATAATGCATTGGGCTATGTTAAACTGACAACTAAGCAGGATTTCTCTTTCCAAAACCATCAGACGTTATGTTACTGCTAGCACTGTATGAAAAGAGCAAGGCATCATTATTTGGTATAAACAAAAGCAACTTTACAATCCTTTTTTTGGGGGGGGGGTGGGTAACCTGAAAATCCCAAACCATGGTTGTTATTACAAAACTTTTCTTTTCCTCAGTACACACCCCTGGGCCAAGCACAGATGCATTAAAAATTTGCCAAGAGAAACAATGAAGTCACTGATAATACAAAGCATGAAGTATCATGAAATTCATGTCTTTGTTTTCTTCCCCTCCATACTTAATTACTTCTCATTACTGATCATTTTGTGGTTGTTGGCACAAGGGCAAGGAAACTCCACCATTGTAAACATGCGGAGACATATAACACCTCAGTAGACCAGAAGTCTGCACACGATGGATCTGTTCACAAATCCAATGTGCATGCCATTAAGAATGTTGATGCCACCAACCCCAGCCCCAAAGGGATTAGCAGTCTTCGAAAAACTCTAATCACTTTAAAAAAGAATAAACGAAGTATCAAAATATTTTAGGTCATTCCTTTCTATCACTTATAAATATCATCATTGCCAAAGCACTTGTGGTTTCCTGGAAGATTTCACCTTAAAAGTGAGGTAAGGGAAGCTGGGATGTATACAGAGTTTCATTCAAGTTTTCTGCAGCAGCTCAGCCTGACTTTAACTCAAAGGTACTTATGAGAAATGCTTATTAAACTACTCTCCTAAACAGAAGCTTACATTATCTTGGAATTCTGGAAGGCACATCTTGGATAAAATTAATCCAGAGGAATCCTTATTGATTAGCAGCAGATTACAAGTTGATTCTTATCAATAGGCTACTGGTGGGGCACCTGGGTGGCTCAGTAGGTTAAGTGTCTGACTTTGGCTCAGGGCACGATCTCAGGGTCCTGGGATTAAGCCCTGGGGGGGGGGGGGTCCCTGCTCAGCGGGGAGTCTGCTTGTCTTTCTCCCTCTACCCCCCTCCCCCCGCCCCGCTCATGCTCGCTTTCTGTCTCAAATAAAATTTTAAAGAAAAGGGCTATTTTTCCACATACGAATATGTAGGCAAGAGAAAGCACAGGAATACATCACAGAAATCATTAAAACCTCCCCACAAAACCTTATGCATCCAAGAAATTAAAGGACTAAAGAACCAGATATATTTTACCCCTTTTAAACTAGACATTTAGGAGCACCTGAGTAGCTCAGGGGGTTAAGTGTCTGACTCTTGATCTCAGCTCAGGTCTTGATCTCAGGGTTGTGAGTTCAAGCCCTGTGTTGGGCTCCATGCTGGGTGTGGAGCCTACTTAAAAACAACAACAACAATGAAACAAAAAACTGGACATTTATTCAATTTTCACAAAAATCTGAATCTGTAAGTGTTGTAGACCTACAGTTTTTAAAAGAATGGCTGTAGTTAACTCTTCCCAACTCTTTCTATTCCTCTGCAATGTGACCTTGCAGCTCCAACCATCAAGAGATGAAATCTCTGACTCCACTTCTTGAATTGGGGTTGGCCTTGTGATGTTCTCTTGACAATAAAAATGAGGCCTTAAAATTTCAGCTCTCGTACTCTTGGAATGCTGCCCTGAGACCACCATGTGGGGAAGCCTTGTCTAGCCTTGAGAGGTTGAGAGCCCATGCGGAGCAGAGATAAGATGATCCAGCTGAGGTCTACTGGCCCAACTAGCTGACAGAAATGTGAATAAGCCCATCTTAGACCATCTAGGCCCAGTTGAGCTGCAAGATGACGTAAGCTGCAAAATGAACCACAGAATTTTGAACTGTTATTGTTTAGCCACTACCTAAGTTTTGAGGTAGGCCACAAAGTAGAAGAAGAAACCAGTCACCTTGTTGAATAACCATTATGTATGAAGCATCAGGTCAGATACCCCATGGAAGACCTAAATGGAGATTAATAATATTGGACAGAAGACATGGGTGGTCCTGTCCTTCATGTGTGAATATATCTATAAATAAAGTGGCACTTAATATTTATCTGTTTTATCATTTTTTTTAGTATATGTGCTGTTGAAGCTAGCACAATAGTTATCAATTTTAAATATATCTAGTCTACGTTAATAACCTGCCATTATTCCTACAGGTCAGAGCAAGCCTCTTCCTGGAATGTTCAAGACAATCCAATGGGGTAGGAAAAAATAACTAGATATATTATTTTTAATTAATATTTTTCATTTTCATTTTTGAATGTTTTCATATCATATATCATATACATGTTTTCATAAGGTATATAGTGTATATTAATATGCTAGTATATAAACATTATTTATATATACATAAATATACATATAATGGGGTTTTCCACAGTCATATCTCCCACAGATCCTCAACCTTCCATCCCTACACAAAAAGTATACTTCTCTATGCTTTGCTTTTCTCAAATAAATGAATTCTTCCTCAGCTATCTAGGGAAGAATCTGTGATAACTACTATCACAGATCATTGTTTTTCTGTACTGTAATTACTTAGCAAGCATGTTTATAAGCATGTTTCAGATAGGGTGTCTATATTCATTCCAGACAAGGTGTCTGTAACTGTTTGTCTTTGGCAGTACAGCCTAATGGCATTATGGCATGATTTTTAGAGTACAGGTTCTGGAGCCAGGTTGCCTGGATTCAAATCCCAGTTCTGCCAGTTATTAGCTGTGCAAACTTAAAAAAACAATTCTCAGCTGAAAATTATTATTGGGATTATTTCCTTAAGAATTGTCTTTTAACTATAATCTCTTTCTTGGTGGAAATCATCAGACCTGGTTTACTGCATATCCACATGAAGCATTTAGAGTTCTGTGGATTTCTATAAGATGAAGATCCACAAATCCATCTCATCTAAATATACTATTGATAGCCTATGCTAGAAGAAAGGCACACTGGCAAGAATTATTATATACCATAGGGGAAAGGGGTCAAAGAGATCACCTCCCTATCTCCCTCACTTCACAACCAGGGACACTGGGCTCACAGAGGGTCAATGTTTTAACTAAGTCCCACAGCTGATTTGTGATTGAATTCTTTTCATTTGACTTCTGTCTACTTCAGTGCACTTCTCATAACCCCAGTTTTAGGAACTATTTCTATAAACCTTTCGAGTAAAAGTGTATCATTTGTATTAAGGGAATTAAGGAAGCCACAACATAAATAACCAACTTAGTACATGACACATAGTGGACTTTCAATAAATGCTTGTTGAAGTATGGGTGGAGGGATGAACAAAGCCTAGCTGCCTGGCTCAGAAATCCTCAAGGTTTCTAAACTATTCTGACACTCAGGGATCTCAAGTGGTACCAGCAAACTGGGGCTGTTGAGAATCACTTCTCTCTCTTTCTCTCTTTTAAAGATTTATTTATCTGAGAGAGAAAGTGAACACTTGAGTTGGGGGAGGGGCCGTGGGCAAGGGGAGAGAGTGAATCCTCAAACAGATTCCCCACTAAGCATGGAGCCTGACATGGGGCTTGATCCCACTACCCTCATGGCCTGAGTCGAAATCAAGAGTTGGATGCCTAACTGACTGAGCCACCCAGGTGCCCCCAGTGAGAATCACTTCTTAAACAGAGTACTCAGCAAAGACACAAAGCTATTCTTTCAATCCTTTTTTTTTTCCTTCTCTATTCATACCTCACATCTTATTAGATGAAAGAGATAATCAAATATACTTGCTAATTTTTTCCCTAACTATAAACGTAGTACAGACTCACTGTACAATTTTTGGGAATAAAAATAAAGTTAATAATAGTATTAATAAAAGACAATGTTTATTTAGAGTGCTAATTTTATACCAGGCATGTTGCAAACACTTGACATGTGTTGACATGTAATCCTCACAGCAACTTTAGGTTACAAATATTCTACTACTATCACGCCCATTTTACAGATGAGAAAAAAGGTATTAAGTAACTTGCCCAAAGTTTTACAGCCAATAAATAATGGAGTACAGATTTGACTTAGGCAGTATGGTCCCAGAGTCCATGGTCTTCACACTCTTTTACACTGCCACTGATCAAGTTTTGGTTTCTAATGCAAATTATAAGAAAAGAAAAACTAATTTAAAAAGTGATAAATTTGACTAAATTAAAATTTAAAATTCTATACCATAAAATACAATAAATAAAGTGAAAATACAAGCTACACACCAGAAAAGACAATAGCAAAACATATAATCAACAAAATGGTAATTGTATACAGTATGTAATGAATTTCTACAAATCTGTAAGAGACAACCAATACAAAAGAAAAATGAGCAAAGATCATGAACAAGCAATTTATGAAGAAACCCAAATGGCCTTTCAACACAAAAAAGGATGCCCATCTCACTAAAAATTATAGGATGCAAATTGAAAAGACAGATACCATTTCATTTATCAAAATGGGAAAAACTATAAATTCAATAATAGAAGTGTTGATGAAGATATGGAGCAATGAGAACTCTAATACTCTGCTGTCAATTGATATTCCACTTAGAGGAGCAATAATCCCTAGTAATGTTGAGAGAACACATACTCTGCAGCCCTAAAATCCCACTCCTATGTCCTAAAGAATATTCCCAGAGAAATGCATGTACCCAGGAAAAAAATGTGATGTTCATTACAGCATTTCTTCTAATACTGAAGAAAAATGTAAACTATTTAAACATCCATTGATAGTAAAACGGAATAAGGAAGAATCTATCTAGAAAATACAGAATGAAAAAGCATGTTTCAGCAATATACATTCAATGTGCTATTTACATAAGGTTTGAAAATATGCAGAGCTATACTATATATTGTTTAGTAATATATATACACACATTCAAAAAAAGTATAAAACATGTATGGGAATATACATACCAAATTCAAGATGGTTACTTTTGGGGTGGGAAGCGTAGAGAATAGGTTAAGGAAGAGATAAATACGGAGCTTCACCTGTATCTATAATACTTTACATTAAAAAATTATTTTCTAATGTATATAGGAAATTAAGATTTTATGAATTTGTGTGGTAGCATGTAGTGATTCATTATACTTCCCACACTTTTCTGTATGCTTTAGTTTTACAGATCTTTAAAGAAATACTATTTTTTAATATATATATATTTATTTATTTTTAAGTAATCTGTATACCCAATGTGGGGCTTGAACTCACAACCCCAAGATCAAGAGTCACATATTCCACTGACTGAGCCAGCCAAGTGCCCCAGAAATATTATTTTTTAAAAGAAATATTATTATAGAATGTATGGGGAAAAAAGAAATATTATTATAACCTAAAAGCAAGGCACTAAGATGATAAAAGTTTCAAGATTTTAGAAGTAAAATTAATAATCTGTACATCATTGAAGTAGACTATAAACTCAATTGATACTTGTCATTTCATTAAAAATCTCAAAAGTGGGACAATTTTTCTTACTATTATAAATTAATTTGGATAATTATATAATCAGATGTGAGCTAATGTATACCTCAAATATGAATTTATTTTAATTGTTTCCATAATGGCCAACTACTATAGGCAGAATTGTCCCTATTTTGGAGATGAGTGTCCTAACTATAAATCCTTGACGTGTCCAAGGATAGATCTGGAATTTTAGCAGAATATCAGGGATACAGCCAGGGACCAAGCCTTCATTCCTTTAATATTAGACTTTGTTGTCAAAACTAAGTAACCCAAGGTATTTTCTAGCTACTGCTTCTGATGCTTCTATTTTAAAGCACTAAAAACTAAGAAATTTCTAAAAAATTTTTTAAACTTCCAAAGGAAATACTATAATGTGAATCTGCAGAAAGTTAGAACAATTAGCAAATTTACCATTTTACAATTATGTTAAGTACATCTTAACTCAAGTAAACACTTAGGCTGTGGTCGGAGGTATGACCTGGATCCCGGACATGAAATACTTGGTGGATGAAGTTCAAATATAGTCTGTTTACCCATGGATATAAGTGACCTTAATCAAAGCAGAACACCTTTTTTTAAAATGTTGATTTTAAAAACATAAGTGTAAATAAAACTGTGATTTATGAATCTACTAGGGGTGTTCTCTGCTGTAGACTTCAGAAAGATCGAGTCTTTGGCTGCAGCAAATACAGCAAGAGTGCAGACCTGTTAAAGCAGTAATAGGTGCCCTTATTAAAACTCCACTTCCATTAAGAGGTACAAATTGTTTTCCTTCTTTCCAGGCTTTAAAGAATGCGTTCCAGAAGCAGTGACACAGAGGGCTCAGCCCAAAAGCAATTTCCAAGACATAGTAAAGACCATGGTTTCCAAGGGCCTGTGGACATGAAGCAGAGACAGCAAGACAAAGACCCCACCAGTGAGTCAGATGCAATTGTTCCCTGTCCTAAGTCACACAGTGGTATCAGTCACCATGGAGAAGACCTCTCAAGAGATGACCTATTATTTCTTCTGAGCATTCTGGAAGGAGAACTGCAGGTCAGCTGGGTTAGAATTATCCCCATGTTCAAAGAGAAGGCTTCTTGTGAATTTGGTGTGTATGCTGCCATGGAAATAGATTATCTATGGTTCATACCTGTATGTACATCAAAGAAAGTACACATATACAGAATTCCCTTCTGCCAACTGAAAGGGCAATTAATCATATCTGAAAGGGCTGTCATTATGATATGCAATTGGCATGCACCATGTGAAAGATCACATCCTCTGCCCAGGCTGCTCATGAGCTTCAATGCCCAGGCATGTATGAGTAACAATGACTTCTAGATTGGCTTAAATAATAAGAAGCACTTTTATACCCCATGTAAATTGGCTCCTAGACTTGCCTTAGCATTATTAACCTATATAAAAACCTAAAAACAGCTACTATACATATAGGAGAGTCTTATTTCCTACCCCCCAAAATTCAAATGTCAATCCATTTAAGGGTATCATGTTATCTACTTGTCAAACAATTAAAAATGTGGGGTCCCCCCAATGTTGTATAGTGATAACGTTTAAAACATTAATAATATGTAATTAGATTTTAAGGAGGATGAAGGGACATAATTTTACTGCCTTTTGTAAAAGGTGCTATAAAGAAATAGGATTTGTTTATATTTGAAATAGAAGAAAAAAACCACTCAACTCTCAAGAAATCAGTTTCAGAGACTGCTGGTAGATAAAGCAAGCTTTCTGAAATGGCTTTTGTTCCTACAGGCTCGAGATGAAGTCATAGGCATTTTAAAAGCTGAAAAAATGGACTTGGCTTTGCTGGAAGCTCAGTATGGGTTTGTCACTCCAAAAAAGGTGTTAGAGGCTCTCCAGCGAGATGCTTTTCAAGCAAAATCTGCCCCTTGGCAGGAGGACATCTATGAAAAACCAATGAATGAGGTATGTATCACATCAGGGGTGTGCACCTGGAAGGTGGAAAAGTTCACTAGCCAGCCAAGCACTAGGCCTGGAAGGTGAGCATGACATATAACTTTTTTTTTTTTTAACTTACAGTTTTATGTTCTCACACATTTAAAATCTACCCACGGTAGATAAATACTACATATTCTATAGGAAAGAATAGGAGAACAAATCACAGATGGGATGTTTCCACTAGGTTTGTTTCTTGACATCAGACTGAAAGCTGACAAATACAAGAGATTTTCTCTCTCCCTCTCTCACACACACACAGAGACACAGACACCCAGACACACACACGTGGTGCATGCACACACACACACATACGCACACAAGGGACAGCACATATGGGGACTTGAAGGCTATACAGGCTATAATAAAAAACAAAGCTCAAGCATAGAGGTTAATTTCTTTGAAAACACTGAGGTATTATGTCATAGAAATTTTGAGCATGAATGGAAATGATCTGAAGAATTGTCCAAGAAATGGAGTTTTAGGAAACATATATTTTAGATGAGTGCTATCCTCTTTTTCCTTCAAAAGTTTAATGACAGCCAAGATCTTTCCCCCATCAAGTGTGCCCAGCAATGACAATAGCAAAGATGCGAAGTCTCAACATGGCCACCATTGCACAATGATGCCGTACTGCTTGCTCTTTTACTTGCTGACATTTCTACAACTCTTTGGCATCCTTATTTTATTCTTCTATTTTCCTCTGAGACCTCAATGGAAAATTTCATAATTTTTCATTTTTATAAAAAGGAAACAACTAGGAGCATGAGTTAAGGCTGGAGAGAGTGAAAGCCAGTTTTGGACAAAATTTGCCCACATGAGCTCTGGCAACCTACCTCAGGGCTGACCTCTAATGTCCTTGCTATTCTCGTCTTGGGTGTCTCATGAGAGAAGACTACTGTCTTGCCAAACTGTGAAGGAGTTTGGTCATATGGATCTGCTTCTCTGAGGGGTAAGGATGAGACCACCCAAAGTCTGTTGACTTGCACTTTAATCCAAATTTTAGAAAGAGGAGCTGAAGCTGCATTCAAGTCAATAGTGTTAAAACTGTATCCTGGCTCCCAACATAGTGACTGTGAAACAGCATTAGGCACAAATTCCCCAACTCATATAAGTGCAAATGCAAACTGATGATCACTGAATATATCCTGACAAAACTCCACAAATGGCACAACCTCTCAACACCTCAATGTGAAATGAACAGAATGATTCCAAACTTAAGCTAAAATCACTAGGAAAGTTTTAGTTTAGTTTTAGTTTCACAATAATTCTATTGCACACATGCAAAATTGGAAATACCCTGACTCTCTACAAATGTTTGTCCCTGAAAGTTACCCATAATTTAGCCCTTTATAAATCCAACCTTATTTGATTACTTTTATTTTTAATTATTTAATTTATTCAAATATTGTATAACTTAAAGAAACATGAGTGAAAAATAAAGTTTTTTTTTTTTAAGATTTTATTTATTTATTTGTCAGAGAGAGAGAAAGCACAAGCAGAGAGAGAAGCAGGCTCCCCACTGAGCAGGTAACCCTATGCGAGACTTGATCCCAGGACTCTGGGATCATGACCTGAGCCGAAGGCAGACGTTTAACGACTGAGCCACCCAGGTGCCCCAACTTACTCATTTCTTAACTGGAAGCCTATATCTCCCATTCCTCCTGGCCCATATATTTGCCCATCCCCTACCATCCTTCCCTCTGGCCACCATCACTTCATTCTCTGTATTTATAGATTTGATTATGCTTTTTGTTTACTCATTTGCTTTGTTTTTTAGATTTCATATATGAGTGAAATCATATGGTATTTGTCTCAGTCTGACTTATTTCCCTTAGCAAAATATCCTCTAGGTCTATCCATGTTGTTGCAAATGACCAAAAAAAAAAAAAAATCTTATCCCTTTTTATGACTGCATAATATTCTATTGTAGATTTATATATATATATATATATATATATATACACCACATCTTCTTTATCCATTCATCTATCAATGGATACTTAGGCTGCTTTCATATCTTGGTATAAATAATAGTAAATAATGCTGCAATAATCCTTTTGAACTAGTGCATATATCCTTTTTAACTGGTATTTTGTTTTCCCAGTAGTGGAATTATTGGATCATATGCTATTTCTATTCACGATTTCTTGAGGAACCTCCATGCTGTTTTCCACAGTGTCTGTACCAATTTACATTCCCACCAGCAGTGCATGAGGGTTCCTTTTTCTCTACATCCTTGACAACACTTGTTATTCTTGTCTTTTTGATTTTAGCCATTCTGACAGGTAAAAGGTGATATCTCATTGTGGTTTTGATTTGCATTTCCCTGTCAATTAGTGATGTTGAGCATCTTTTCATGTGTCTGTTGGCCATTTTAATGACTGTTTGGGAAAAATTTCTATTCAGGTCCTCTGCCCATTTTTCAATGTGATTGCCCCTTACCTTTTTTTGGGGGGTGGGGGTTGAGTTGTATAAGTTCTTTATATATTTTGAATATTTACCCCTTATCAAATATATCATTTGTAAATATCTTCTCCCATTCAGTAGGTTGCCTTTTTGCTTTGTTGATGGTTTCTTTCCCTGTGCAAAAGCTTTCATTTTTTATTATGTTATGTTAATTACCATACATTACATCATTAGTTTTTGATGTAGTGTTCCATGATTCATTGTTTGCGTGTAACACCCAGTGCTCCATGCAGAACGTGCCCTCTTTAATACCCTTTTTATTTTGATGTAGTCCCAACAGTTTATTTTTGCTTTTGTTTCCCTTGCCTTAAAAGACATATCTAGAAAAATGTTGCTATAGCTGATGTCAAATAAATTGCTGCCTGTGTTCTCTTCTGGGGGTTTTACGGTTTCTGGTCTCACCCATGGGTCTTCAACCCATTTTGAGGTTTTGTGTGAGTTAGTCTGTGTGTGTGTGTGTGCTGTTAGAAAGTGGTTTAGTTTCATTCTCTTGCATATAATTCTCCAGCTTTCTCACCATCATTTGTTGAAAAGACTGTCTTTTCCCCATTGTATATTTTTGCCTTCTTTGTCATAGATTAATTGACCCTATAAGCATGGATTTATTTCTGTGCTCATTAAGACAAGTGCACATCTAATCCCCTTCACCTATTTCACCATTCCCCACCCCCAAATTCACCTCCAGTAACTCTTGTTTGTTCTCTGTCATTAAGAGTCTGCTTTTTGGTTTGTCCCCCTTTTCCCCCTCTTTGTTTTGTTTCTTAAGTTCCACATATGAGTGAAATCATATGGTATTTATCTTTCTCTGACTGGCTTATATTGCTTAGCCTTATACTCTCTACATCCATCCATGTTGTTGCAAATGGCAAGATTTCATTGTTTTTTATGTAGATGCTAAGAATTTTTAAAAATTCAATGTAGGCCTTGCCTTCAGGGAGTTCACAGTCTCGTAGGGAAGACAAACACATAACTCAGGCACAGGGTGATCATTTTATAATAGAGATATAAGTAGGCCACAGAAACCAGAAAGGACTTGGTGTTGACATTTGTTCACATTAATACTACACAGCCAACAAAGAACTGATTAATAAGAATTTTAAAAATATGCAAATACCTTGATGCATAATATGATGAAAAACAGACTATGTGATCCAACAGGCCTACTATAGGGAGGGCTGGGGCAGGACAGCAGTTAGGTTGCCTCAGAATCAAACATTATGCAAGGATTCCTTTTCTTTATGTCATTCCTCTGACAAGGTTGTTCTGGAGAGAGGAGGAAGTGTCAGAAAAGGGATATGGGGAAATTATTCTCATATCTACAGAGGCACCAATTATTCTCTCTGGGGAAAAAAAATGACAATAAAAAGATTACCTTTGTGTTGAAATGCATCAAAAAGTATCAATTAACAAGAGTAATGATAAAAAAACAAACAGATCAGAAACCCATTGCTAAATTAGTCAAAACTTAGACATTTCTAAAACAGTGAATGAAGGGTTCATTGAAGGGTTTGCAGTAAACACACTATAAATGTATTTTCTTTTGTAGTTGGACAAAGTCATGGAAAAACATAAAGAATCTCATAGACGAATCCTGGAACAGCTTTTAATGGCAGAAAAATCTCATAGGCAAACCATACTGGAGTTGGAGGAAGAAAAGAGAAAACATAAAGAATACATGGAGAAGAGTGATGAATTCATAAGCTTACTAGAACAGGAATGTGAAAGGTAAGGTTACTCTGGACAGGACAATGATCCATTCTGCAAATTCTTTTTCTTTTTTTTTTTAAAGATTTTT